GAGTTCAGTCCATTGATATTTAAAGTTATCAAAAGATGTGTATTGGTTGCCATCATTTTAATTATTGTTTGTATTCTTTGTCTAATTTTGTATTTCCACAGTTATATTTTCATTTAGTTTCTTTCTGTTATAGTTGTTCCTTTCTCTGCTCTGTATTGCTTCAAGTATTCTTTGAAGGGCTTGTTTTGTGGACATGTATTCTTTCAGGCTATTAGTATCATGGAAGATTTTTCTTTCTTCTTCAGCTATAGACATTTTTAGTGGGCAAAGTATTCTGGATTGGCATCTGTGGTCATTTAGAACTGGAAATACCTTGGTCCAGGCTCTTCTGGCTTTCATAGTTTGCATTGAGAAGTCAGCTGTAATTCTGATGGGTTTTCCTTTATATGTGAGTTGTTGTTTTTCTTTTGCAGCTTTCAGTATTCTTTGTTTTGTATATTTAGTGTTTTTACCATGATATGTCATGGGGAATTTCTTTTCTGGTCCTGTCTATTTGGTGTTCTATGTGCTTCTTGTATTTGTATGGGCATGTCTTTCCTTAATTTTGGGAAATTCTCTTCTACAATCCTGTTTAAGATCTGGTCAGTACCGTTAACCTGAAATTCTTCTCCTTCCTTTCTGCCTATTATACATAGATTTGGTCTTTTCATGGTGTCCAACATCTCCTGCATGTTCCATTCCTGTGTTCTTTAAATTTTTACATAATCTTTGCTTGAGTGGTCCATTCTTCAACTTTATCCTCCAGTGTTGATATTCTGTTTTCCATTTCATTCATTCTAGCAGTGAGGCTTTCTCCTGTTGTTTCAAGTTGGCTTATTGAGTTTTTCACTTCCTTCTTCATTTCTCCTTGAGTTTTCTTCATTTCTACCTCTTTTGTGAATTCATTCAGAAGTTTATCCCTATTTTCTTCTAGTTCTTTGAATTGTTTGTATTTTCTTTAAATTTGTTGAATTCCTTGTCATGCTCTTTTAAATTCTGTGTCCTGAGTTATCTCTAGGGGGCTCTCCTTGTAGAACTCTTCTACAGGACTGGTAGAATTTAGTGGGAACATACTGTTTTGGTTTTCCATTTTATTGTTTTTTCATTGTGATTTTAGCATGGGGATTTCTTTTGTTTATGATTCTGGTATGAACGTTAAGCCTTCCTTGGTTGAGTTGAAGTCTGCTTCTGTTTGTATTATTGGCATGCATTGGTTATTTACTTATTGGGTATGTAGAGCTAGTTGGTCTAGGTTTCAGGTTCTCTCAGATTTTATTTGGAGGGAACTGATGGCTTCAGATCAGCTACTTGGGAGCTCCCACAGAGGCTCCAGTCAGGTACACTCATTCTTCCTTCTAATGTTTGGACCCCTACTAGCGATACTCGGAGTACAATTTGGTAAGTTCCCTATAGGGACACTGGATCCAGGTGCTCTTAGGTGGTCTGCTGAGTTCTCAGCCCCTACCACAGACAGACATAGGCCAGATCAGGTACTCTCAGGCTGTTTGCTAAGGTCTCAGCCTTACCCTGGTGTAGTGCAGAGAGTTCTGTCCCTGGGGCCATGGGGAAGGGACTCATGTAATCCCAGTTAGGGGATTGGGTATGGTAATTTGGGGAAACTCACCACCACATGAGGCCTGATCAGGTGCTCTCAGGCTGTCTGCTGAGTTCTTAGTCCCTAACCTGGGCTGAAGGGAGATCAGGCATTCTCAGGCTGTTTCTTTTTGAGACAGGGTCTCCCTGCACCCCAGCTGGCCTGGGACTCAGTATGTAGCAGGCAGGCCTTGAAATCTCAGAGATCCACCTGCCTGGGACTAAAGGCATGGCTAGGGCTTGGTTTGTTTTTTGAGATAGGCTCTCAAGTAGCCTGACTGACCTCAAACTCATCATGTGCCTGAGGATGAACCTGAACTGCTCATCCTCTAGCCTCTACCTCCCAAGTGCTGGGATTAAAAAGTGTGCCAGCAGCTGGGTGTGGTGGTACACGCCTTTAATCCCAGCATTTGGGAGGCAAAGGTGGGTAAATCTCTGTGAGTTCAAGGCCAGCCTGGTCTACATAGTGAGTTCCAGGCCAGCTGGGGCTACAGGGAGACCGTCTCAAAAAGACAAAACACACAAACAAATAAAGTGTGCCACCACACCAGCATTGCTTGTTTTGTTTATTTGTTACAATTTTATTTATTTTACTCTATATGTGTGTATACACATGCACATGAGTGTCACAGTGCATACGGAAGTCAGAAGGCAACTTGCAAAGATTTGGTTCTATCCTTCTACCATGTGGGTCCTGTGATAAATGAAGACAGACTTGTAGTTAGGCACCTTTAACCCTCTGAGCCATCTCACCAGCCCTCCTTTAGTTTTTGTTTTTTGTCTTTTTTGAGACAGGGTCTCCTTGTAGCCCCAGCTGTTCTAGAACTCACTACGTAGACCAGGCTGGCCTCGAACTCACAAAGATACGCCTGCCTCTGCCTCCCAAGGGCTGGGATTAAAGGTGTGTGCCACCATGCCCAGCATCATTTAGTTTTTATGATAACATTTTTGTTTTATGCTTGATGTCTTAAGGAACCCTTGAGAAATAATGAGCATTCATTTCTATCTTGGTATAAAAGAACAACTTAAAACAGGAGATAAAAATTAAAAACCTAGAGGAACTTACTGTCTCTTCTGTACAGCAAAGAAATCCAAATTAAGCTAGGAATCTGGGTTTCTTGAATTTGTGACTGTACCATACATTCCCTGTCATGTGGACCAAAAGGAATCTGGGTTTCTTGAATTTGTGACTACCATACATTCCCTGTCATGTGGACCAAAGTGTGAAACTGTGAAACTATGGACTGAATAATAATGGCATCCTAACCCCAAGCATATTGCCTTCTTTCTCCTTCTGAGTTGTACACTCATTGGCATCCTGGGCTAAAGATCCAACAGCAACCTTACAATATAGTCAAGACTGAAAAAGTAACAATAACAAAATGAACACATGGTCTGGTGTGGTACATGCCTTTAATCCCATTACTCCAGAGGTAGAGGCAGGCAAAACCTCTGTGATTTGAGAACAGCTTGGTCTACATAGCAAGTTCCATACCAGTCAGTGCTATATAGTAGGCCCTTGTATCAAAAAGAAAGAAAGACCCAGCACTCAGATGACCTGGGTTCGATCACAGGGTTGGTTTCTTTTCTATTGCTGTGATAAAGCACTCTGACCAAAAGCAACATAGAGGAGGGAAGGATTTATTTATTTTCTTTCTTTTAAGAATATTTTTTTTCATTTTATGTATATGAGTATATTGCCCTCATGTATGTAAGTGCACCTGTGTTGTGCCATACCCACAGAAGTTAGAAGTCTTCAGATTCCCCTTGGAACTGGAGTTATGGATGGTTGGTAGCTGCCATGTGAGTGCTGGAATTCAAACCCTGGTCCTCTGCAAGAGCAGTCAGTGCTCTTACCCACTGAGCCATGTCTCTAGCCCCTTAGCTAGCTTTTTTTTTTAACTTTTTTTAAAAAATTTATTTATTTATTATTTGATGTGTATCTGTATTGCCTGCATGTAGGTAAGTGCACCCGTGTCGCGCAGTACCCACGGAGGTCAGAACAGGCTGTCAGAGCCCCTGGAACTGGAGTTACGGACAGTTGTTAGCTGCCATGTGGGTGCTGGGATTCAAACCCAGGTCTTCTGCAAGAACAACGAGTGTTCTTAACCACTGAGCCATCTCTCCAGCCCCCTTAGCTAGCTTTCTAACACAGCATAAGACCTTTGCCCACTGTGGGCCCTGGACCTCCTACATTAATTAACAATATGACAGTCCCCGTAGACATGACCACAGTCCAGTATGATCTGGGAAATTGCTCTATTAAGACTCCTTTCTCGGGGCTGGAGAGATGGCTCAGCGGTTAAGAACACTGGTTGTTCTTGTAGAACAACCTCCAAGCCTCTTCTGTCCTCCGTGGGCATTGCAAGACACGGGTGCACTTACCTACATGCAGGCAATAACACGCATATACATAAAATAAAAATAATAAATAAAATGTCAAAAAAAAGACTCCTTTCTCAGGTGACTCTAAGCTGTGTTAATAGCTAAAGCTAAATAGGAACCCCAAAACATATATCATGTAAAGAGAAAAATGGCTCCCACGTGCCCCCTGCACAAGTTAAATTAAAATAAAAAACGAAGCCAGGCGTGGTGGCACATGCCTTTAATCCCAGCATTCAGGAGACAGAGGCAGGCAGATCTCTGTGAGTTCAAGGCCAGCCTGGTCTACATAGTGAGTCTTCCAGGCCAGCTGGGGCTACAGGGAGACCTTGTCTCAAAAAGACCAAAAAAAAACAACTTTTTTTAAAATAAAAAACTAAGAATGAGTGCACACAAAAGATACTGTTGGGAAAGTCACTTATTTTGACTGTTTAAAATCTTTTTAAAAATATTTTCTCCAAAAAAAAATTTTAAAAAAATTTTTTCTCCTAGAGAGCTGGGCTTGGTGGCCACATGCCTTTAATCCCAGCACTTGGGAGGCAGAGGCAGGCAGATTTCTGTGAGTTTGAGGCCAGCCTGGTCTCCATTAGCAAATCCGGGCCAGCTGCAGCTACAGGGCAACCTTGTCTCAAAAAGACCAAAAAAAAAAAAAGTTTGATTTATTATTATTGTGTATATATGTGTGTGATTCAGGGGTGATGTGCCACAGCATATATGTGGAGGCCACAGTATTGCCTTGTAAAGTCCGTTCTCATCTTCCTTTTTTTTTTTTTTTTTTTTGAGTCAGCGCTCCTTATAACCCAACTGGCCTGGAACTGCCTATGTAGACCAAGTCGGTCTTGATCTCAGAGATCTGCTTGCTCTGCCTCCCAAGTGCTAGGATTAAGGGCATGCGCCCCATGCCCTAGTTCTCCTTCCATCTTTATGTGGATTCTGGGGCTTGAACTCAGGTGGCCAGACTTGTATGGCAAGTATTCTTTACCTATTGAGCCAACTTGCTAGCCCCTAAATATGGTCCTTATTTTCTTATTTTTTCTGACATTCAGGTAGCCCAGTGTGTCTCACCAAAGGGACCTCTAGCATGTTCAAGAACATACTTTTTTGGAGCTACTCATGTTCCTTACTTGGGTAAGTCCCTGTAAATAGTCAACTCTTAGGAAAAAAAAAAATTCTCCCATGAAGAAGTTAACATATGATTTACTGTTTTGTTCAAAAGCTCATAACCATTTCATGGGCCTCAACCTCTTCTTTGATTGCAGCTAAAGAGTTGTGTCTAATGCATTCCTCACAGAATGTATTTCAGGAGAAAAACCATTATTTCTGCTATGGTTTAGAAGTTAGCTATGTGTAAGGCCCTGTGCTGGATGTCATAAGAAAGGTCACAGTGACTAAGGCCTAGTTTGAGATAGCAGGAGATAGGGGCTACAGTGCAAGTTTGGATGACTTGGCCAAATTCCTGCCTAACTTCTCCTGTGAGAAAGGGGAGAAAGGGCCATGATAGAGGGGTACCCAGTAGCTAAGACCCTGCTGTGGTACCCTTCAGAAAGGCTAGACTGGCTAAGGCTATCCTACTTGCTGGGATTTTCTGAAGCCATAGCTATCCAAAGAGACATGGGAGGTGAGGGGGCAGGCATAGTGGTGCATACTTTTAATCCGAGCACTCAAGAGGCAGAGAGAGGCAGATCTCTCTGATTTCAAGGGCAGCCTGGTCTATGTAACAAGTTCCAGGCCAGCTGGTGCTACAGGGAGACCCTGTCTCTAAAAAGACACCCCCCCAAAAGAAATGTAAGATACAAGTAAAAGCAGCCCAGAACTCAAGATTTTATGGAGTGGGTTGGAAAAGTGGGACAGGCAAAAGTCTAGGAAGATACTGGGGAAAGTATAACCATTTTTGTGTTTATATTGTATTTAACTTAAAAGGAAAAAATGCACTTCTAGCTTTCTTGTGAAACATTTGACTATAATATATACATACATATATTGCTCTTTACAGGTAGTGATTACAAGCTGCCAAAGAAGACCAAACAAGTGTAAGTCCTCATGTTAGTTTTATTTCTTCTCTCAAAGTTGAATTTCTCACTTGTGGCTGTCCTGTCTGCTCCCATTGAGATCAGTAATGAATGGAACATTTGGTTTTGAGGCAAACATTGCTATGTATTTTCCCAGCAAGTTATCCGAACTTGTCTTTGCAATTGGAATCCAGGCCAGAGGGCCTTGCCAGCTTTGCCATTGGCTCTTCTGTCTGGAACTCTCATGATTGTATGCACATTCATGTATTTATATGACATAAACCCCCTTCATACATTTTGTACACAGTAAATTGTTTTCAGAACCAAAACACTATGCAATTCATTGGGAAAATCTGAAATCCCATGTGGTCTGAGGAATGTTTTCTATGAGCTTGACATTCAGACTTGAGGAACAGAGCTGTGTTCTAAATCTCAGTTGTATAACTTTAGAGAGGTACTGACTTCACTCCCTTTCCGTAAAGGAAGAAACCACAGACAGGAAATAAAACTCAATAAAATTCTAAAACTCCTTCACCTAGCTGAGTACCCAGCAAAACTGGTAAGTCCAGACCCCTTTTTCCAAAGGCCAGAGGGATTGGCCACAAAGAATTATCTATATATTATTTCAAAATGTAGGTTCCTGAGTATGAGGGTGATCTGGCTACCACATACTCATTGATGAGTTGTTTTTAGCTAATATGCCATCCCCATCCCTCCCAAAGCTGCATACTCTGTGGAAAATTATAACCTCTTTCTCCAATAGAAGAGGACTAATTTTCAATCAAAGATACACAAGTAGTTGCACTTCCTTGTTAGAACCCCCAGGCAAGCTCTCAAGGTCCATTTATTGACTGTAGTGAGTAGTAAAGCTTCTAAGATTCGATCCACATAAGGCACTGCAGGTTACAGTCTTTTCTTTCTTTGTTTTTAAAGACAGAGTTGGTTATATTAATTACTTGTCTTGATTCTGTGATAAAAATACCTAACAAGGAAAATAAAATAAAAGGAGGCAATGAAATGGCTCAGCATGTAAGAGCATTTACTGCCAAGCCTGACAAATACTAGATCTCACACAGTGGGAGGAGAGAATCTATTTTTTTGAGTTGTTCTCTGACCTGCACATGCATGTGGCACACTGGTTGTGTGACACTATGCCTGGGGAGATGTGAACAAACATCTACTCACCCTAGATAGGGTACCAACAACAAAGGTTGGTATTACCAAAGTCCAACTTGGTGGACCAGTGAATTTATCAGGGTTAGTTACAGGAGCATAGATGACTCAAAGGCAGGTGCATCCCTGAAAGTCTACCCAAGTATGAGTGATGATTCATTCTGTGCTTAGCTTACTAGAAACCCTACAGGTTGGAGTCTCCTCCAGGCAACTTTGCTGGTCTGGTCCTCCTCAGGTGTCTTACTGCTTATATAACCTTGGGAAGGGAGCAGCCTGTACATATTTCAGAGACTTCCTGAGACTTATGAGTTGTTTACTTCCTGAGTCTTACTTTCTTTAGAATGTTCTGAATCTTATTTTATTTTATTTTGGTCTATTTGAGACACAATCTCCCTGTAGCCCCAGCTGGCCTGAACTCTCTATGTAGACCAGGCTGACCTCGAACTCACAGAGATCTGCCTGCTTCTGCCTCCTGAGTGCTGAGATTAAAGGCATGTGCCACCATGCCCAGCTATTTATTATTATTTTATGTGTTATGAGTGTTATGCCTCCATGTGTATAAGTGCACCCATGTCATGCAGTGCTTGCAAAGAACAGAAGAGGGCATCAGATCCCCTGGAACTGGAGTTACTGCCACCCTCCATGTGGGTGCTGGGATACAAACACAACCTGGGTCTTCTGTAAGAGCAGCCAGTGGTCTTAACCATTGAGCCATCTCTCCAGCTCCGAATTTTCTGCATCTTAACAAGCTTCCCTCCATGTTTTAATTCAGAGGAAATTGCTCTACAACATGGAAGTGTGCATGTATGTGCACATACACACAAATAATTTTTTTATTTTTTAAATTCATTTATATTTATTTATTTTTTTTGGTGTTTTTGAGACAGGGTCTCCCTGTAGCCCCCGCTGGCCTGTAACTCACTATGTAGACCAGGCTGGCCTTGAACTCACAGAGATCCACCTGCCTCTGCCTCCCAAGTGCTGGGGTTAAAGGCATGCACCACCACATCTGGCTTCGTTTTTTAATTTTTTAAATAAAAATAAATTGAAAATAAAAAGACCAGTGAGATGGCTTAGCAGGTAAAAGTGCTTTCTGAGAAAGCCTGATGACCTGAGTTTATTCCCAGAACCCACAGAAAACCAGATGTGGTGGCTCAAATTTGTAATTCCAGCACTCCTATGGCAATGGGAGGCAGAGATAGGAGAATCATCCAGAAGCTCATGGGCCAGCATCTGCGTACACAGAGTGACAGAAACAAGAAGGAGAGAACTGGTTCCCAAAATTTGTCTTCTAATCTCCACTCATGCACTGTGTGCCATGGCACATGCACCCCCTGCCCCCACTCATGCACTGTGTGCCATGGCACATGCACCCCCTGCCCCCACTCATGCACTGTGTGCCATGGCACATGCACCCCCTGCCCCCACTCATGCACTGTGTGCCATGGCACATGCACCCCCTGCCCCCACTCATGCACTGTGTGCCATGGCACATGCACCCCCTGCCCCCATATATCATACACACATATACGGTAATAATAAGTAAATAAAATACCCAATGAAGCAAACTTAAAGGAAGAAAGGTTTATTTTGGCTCATAGTTCAAGGGTATAGTCCATCATGGTATAAAATTTATGGCAGCAGGGAGGCTGGTCACATTACATCTGCTATCAGGAAGCACAGAATAATGAATGCCTGTGATGCTGGATGCTTGTCTCTTACATGATTCTAGATCCTGTCAAGTTGGTAATATTAACCATCACTAGGGTCTTACTATATAGATCATGCTGGTCTGGAACTTGTTGAGAGTGTTCTGCTTGTTTGTGAGAATTGGGATTACAGGTGTGAACCACCATGCCTAGATTAGTTTGTCTTTTTATATTGAAAATTTATTTTTATTTTATGTGTATGAGTGTTTTACCTGCGTGTATGTAAGTGCACCTCATGCATACAATGCCCATGGAGGCCAGAAGTAGGTGCATCCCCTGGAGCTGGAGTTATGGATGGTTATTAGTTACCATGTGGGTGCTGGAAACCAAACCTCAGTCCTCTTGAAGAACAGCCAGTGCTCTTAACCTCTGAGCCATCTCAACATCCCCTTTGCTGAAAATTAAAAAAAAAAAAAAGCCAGATGTGGTGGCTCACACCTATAATCCCAACACCAGAGGCAGAAGTAGAATGATTGCCACAAATTCCAGGCCAGCCCGGTCTAGAAAGTGAATCCCTGCCTCAAACAAAAACGAAAAACAAAATACATGCACAGGTTTCCTTGACCTAATCCCAGAACTACTGAATCAGAATTTCTAGGATCCAGCTCACAAAAACTGTACTGGGAAAATTTAATACAAATCATATAATCAATACAGGTAGAGAAAGGAAAATCATTTGATCCATAAATCCTCCCTGGCATTATCCATTAGTGTCTCATATACAGTATATCTTCCTGGGTACTTAAAAATATTACTTTTAAGCTGGGCGTGGTGGTGCATGCCTTTAATCCCAGCACTCGGGAGGCAGAGGCAGGCAGATCTCTGTGAGTTCAAGGCCAGCCTGGTCTACATAGTGACTCTAGGACAGCTGGGGCTACAGAGAGACCATCTCAAAAAGACCAAAAAAAATTTTTTTAATTACTTTTTAGGGCGTGACAGCACACGCCTTTAATCCCAGCACTCCAGAGGCAGAGGCAGGCCAGTCTCTGTGATTTCGAGGTCAGCCTGGTCTACATAGTGAGTCCCAGGCCACCTGGATCTATAGGGAGACCATGTCTCAAAAAAAAAAAAAAGACCAAAAAAATTTATATATATAAATATATATATAATATATGGTGTTTTTATAGGGTTATATCTGTGTCTTTTTTTCCTTTCACTTTAGTAGGAAGTCAATCATTTTCTCCTGCTTGGTGGGGGTAGTCTTGCCTACTGCTTGTGCTTAGCCACTGCCCTGGATCCTCATTCTGGACCCTTTGATTTTTTTTTTAAAGATTTATTTTTCATTTATGTATTTGTGTGTGTCTGCATATGTGCACAGGTGTCAAGGAAGCCAGAGACATCAAATACCCCTGAAGCTGGAGTTACAAGCAGTTGTAAACCAGCTCTTCATCCCCTTGCTTTTTTTTTTTTTTTTAAGCCAAGCATGGTAGGATGGTCATTTTCTCAACATTAATTCTTATGGTAGCACATGCCTGTAATCTGCAGGTAGAGCTCTATAATTCTACATAGCAACTTCCAGGCTAGCCAAGACTATATAGTAAGACCCTGTCTCAAAAAAACAAAACAAAATGAAAACAAAATGTTTGTTGGTATACATAAAAATTTACTATTTACTAAAGAGTAAAGCAAATTTGCATACTAATGAGATAGATATGTTTATTTCTACATAAATAATGAAATCTTAGCAAATATTTTCTATAATGAAATCTTAGCAAATGTAGAGCATCTTTATCATTTTTCAGTTTGATCTGTATTTTGATTTTATAATCATTAATACTGGGAGCACCACTTTGGCATAAAATGGCAAATATGGCCAGGCGTGGTGGCACACACCTTTAATCCCAGCACTCGGGAGGCAGAGGCAGGTGGATCTCTGTGAGTTCGAGGCCAGCCTGGTCTCCATAGTGAATCCAGGTCAGCTAGGGCTACAGGGAGACCCTGTCTCAAAAAAAAAAAGAATGTGTATGTGTATTTACAGCCATTTAAAAAACTGTAATAAATTCTGCTCTAATCCAAAGCCATAATTCATTTAATAATTTTTAAAAATATTTTATTATTTTTATTTTGTGTGTAGATATATTGCCTTCATGTATATAAGTGCACCTGTGTCATGCAGTGCCCACAGAAGTCAGAAAAAAAGCGTTAGATCTTCTGGAACTGGAGGTACAGACGGTTGTTAGTCACCATGTGAGTGCTGGGAATTGAACCCGGGTCCTCTGCAAGAGCGTCCAGTGCTCTTAATTGCTGAGCCATCTCTCCAGCCCCCAACATTTAATTCTTTTTTTTTTTTTAATCTTTTTTTTTTGGTCTTTTGAGGCATTGCCTCCCTGTAGCCCCAACTAGTCTGCTAGTCTGGAATTTACTATGTAGACCAGGCTGGCCTTGAACTCACAAAGATCCACCTGTCTCTGCCTCCTGAGTACTGGAATTAAAGGCGTACAGTACCATGCCCAGCTTGATAATTATTTTTATGAGACTTAAACCAGCAACCCAAAGATATACTAATTTAATAACTTATATCCTGAGGAATGACAATAAGAAACACTTAAAGTTTTTGTTTTATGTAATTAACCACTGTGTTTCTATAAGAACACTGTAATTCATTGCATACACTATTCTGGAATCTGAGCCCAGGTAGGTTTTTTTTTTTTTTTTTTGGAGTTACATGGTGTGACAGAATGCATGTACAAGGTGGGCATGTTGTATAATGCTACCTGAAACGCATTGCACTTATGATTTTGAATTGAATTTTGGTCATTTCACACTCAGAAACCTTTTATTGTCCTCACATTTTTTACAATGCAGTTATGTGACCTCCTACATATACACAGCTTAAGAAATTGTTAAGTTTAGAGTACCTTTTCCTTTTTTTCAAAAGTAGTTCCATTTTGGCACTTTCTTAATCTGTTTAAAAGTTTATTTCTTGGGAGGTAGGCATGGTGGTGCATGTCTATAATCCCAGCAGCTTGGAAGGCAAGAACAAGAGTTTAAGCCCCTGTTTCAAAAAAAAAAAAAAGAAAAGAAAAGAAACCATCATTTATGAGTGTAATACAGCATTTAATGAGGCCATGTGATACTGTAGTTAACCATTATTTTTTTGTTTTTAAAGTAGACTCTTATCCCAGATATATGCTGCTGTTATTGATGCTGTTTTGGCTGCCATTGCATGCTACACTAAAACTTCCAGTCTGGCAAAGGTAATTTAAATACCATGATTCTCTTTTGGAAGTCTTTATTGAATGTAAATGACCCTATCCATTTGCTTGTTCTTTGGAAACTTGTAGTACTCACTTCTGTGTGAGTTAGTTAAGGCCTTGGTAGCACTTGAGCTGCTCTGCTGCTGCCTGTTGCCATGTTGCTTTTTTTTTTTTTTTTTTTATGAGTGACAACTAATTACACAGCTTTGTAGATATCTAGTTGTGTTAAAGGAAAATCATTTTGTTAATAATTTAAACAAAACACTTTTAGAAGTTAAAGAAAAATACAGATTATTCTATTGAATTTTAATAGAGTCAAGGTATGTAGTTAGCTATATACCTTAGTTTCCTGTAATTCAATGTTTTAAAATCAATTACAGGCTAGAAAATCTGATTTAAACCTTTGCTAGGCAAGCATGTGTAATCTTGCGCTCTGACCATTTTCTTCCTTGCTGTTTTGGGGTTAACCTGCCCTGCTGAGTTGGATTCCTAAATCTGACCCAGTAAGATGAGAAGAGACGGTTTGATGCCTCCCAATGCCAATAGGACCTTTCCTGAATGAAGCCAGTTGACAGTGGAAAGGTTGTGTATGATGTAGCTATCAGGGGGACTGTAGCTGTAGTTACCAGCTCCTTGTCATCCCCCTTTCTCCTAAACTTGAATCCTAGTAGTATTGTGGGTTTTCTCAGCTCTTTAGCTACTATACAGTAGAAGGCCTATGCAAAGCCATGAGATGTTCTTCAATATCAGTTCTCACACCTTTTCTTTCCTAATTGATCCACAGCTCTAGCTATTTGAATATTCTTAACATCTAGCAGAAACAGAGGACATTGGTCTCTCCCATAGAGCCAAGGGAGAAGGGAGGATAAAGCACTTTTCTAGATCTCACATGCCACTCCAGCTGCCTAACAAGCTGCTTATATCTTTCCAGCAGTTCAGATGCCAGTGTCCACCTGTCTAAATTCAGTTTCCTGTGAATCCAGGAGGCACCTGTTTCCCATAACCTGATGCTTTCACTTTAATCTTTTGAGGTATACAAAGTAGTCACATAGAAGGGAAGGGCCCTGACCAACTTTTAGAAGGGCCCTTCCTGTCAGTGATATGTGTACTTTTTGCTGCTTGAAAACTAATTGTCTCTTTTGTTACTGCTTTACAGGCCAAGGAGGTAGCAGAATATACCCTGGAATCTGGGTTAGAGTGCATTGAGTTGGGTCAGTTTAAGGCAGACCTACGGTAAGCAACAGCTGGTATTTTTATGAGGAACTTTAAATTTTTAATCACTCCCTTGTCTCTTATCATTTATATCTATCCCTTTCCTCCTTTGAAAAATGTTCCAGTAAAATAATGAGATGTATGAAGGCAAACCATTCGTCATCAGGCCTCTCATCAAAGATGGTAGAACTGTATCAGGAAGAGTCACATATATGTTCTGAGGCTAGAATGTGAAGCAGTGGGGAAACCAAAACCATTGGAGTCAAACAGGGGAACCTGAGAGGTGTTATTAGTGGCAGGGGGCATAGGCACATGCAGAGAATCACTGGTTAAAAGAACTCACCCCAAGACTTTTCTGCTTTTCAGATGATAGGGAATCTGACTTCTTATAGTCTTCCTATCATATCTCTCAGTATGTCCCATTACATCTCTGTGTGGTCTTTATTAAATCTTTATGAACTCAGTTTAGTTAGTCCTCCATTGCACAGGAGGACTATTTTTGTGTACTTTTATGCAAAAGATATGAAAGATTAATACTAGGACATTTATTTAAGAATACCTTGGCTGCTTTAATCCCAGCACTTGGGAGGCAAAGGCAGGCGGATCTCTGTGAGTTCAAGGCCAGCCTGGTCTACATAGTGAGATCCAGGCCAGCTGAGGCTACAGGGAGACCCTGTCTCAAAAAGACCAAAAAAAAAAAAAAAAAAAAAAAAAAGAGTAAGAAAATAACTTGGCTGAGGCATGTCTTTAATCCCAGCACTGGGAGGCAGAGATAGGTGTCTCTCTGGGAGGTCAAGGCCAGCCTGGTCTACATAGCAAGTTCCAGTCCAGCCAGGGCTACATATTGGGACCCTTTCAAGAAAAAGAAAGAAAACTTCTAGGGTATGCTCTGTAATACCTCTACTCCATGCCCTACATTTTCATACATCTACAACCCTAGGTAGTGAGAAAGAGCATTTGATAGAAGATTAGTCAGTTGTTATAACAGGAAGAATTTTATTGCTCCAGCTCCATGAATGGAGGAAAGGCTTTCCCATGGGTCTTTTGAATCATATCCTGACAATGAAAAGAGCAAGTGCTACCCTTTCCTGTCCCTTTAAGACCCTAGTCTAAGAAAGTTCTTTTACTTTGTGCCATGTGAATTTAAGCAAGATAAGGAACTCTGTATCTGTCTCTGGAACTACTTACTTTGTAGAGATTGGACAAGTGTTTTTTTTATTTTTTTATTTTTATTTTTTAAATGTGTATGCGTGTATTGCCTGCATGTAGGTAAATGCACCCATGTCGTGCAATGTCCTCAGAGGTCAGAAGAGGCTGTCAGATCCCCTGGGACTGGAGTTACAGACAGTTGTTAACTGCCATGTGGGTGCTGGGATTTGAACCTGGGTCTTCTGCAAGAACAACCACTGTTTTTTTGGTGGGCTTTTTTTTTTTTTTTTTTTTTGGTCTTTTTGAGACAGGGTCTCCCTGTAGCCCCAGCTGTCCTGGAACTCACTATGTAGACCAGGCTGGCCTCAAACTCACAGAGATCTGCCTGCCTCTGCCTCCTGAGTGCTGGGATTAAAGGCGTGTGCCACCATGCCCGGCACAACCAGTGTTCTTAACTGCTTAGCCATCTCTCCAGCCCTGGACAAGTATTTCTTATTTGCTATGGTAGTGAGGTCTTCTCTGTCACCATTCACATGACTGATACAGTCATTCTGTTCCTTCTGCCACCCTAAGGTTCTTAGACCTAAATGAACCATCCTAGCTGGAGGAAGGCACAAGGAGAAATCACTAAGCAATAGGAAAAAGGTCTCCCAAGCTGTTATTCTACCTGAAGCTCTAATCCCTTCCCTCTACAAGGATCACTTCACTGAGGACCCCAACTATATGACGTTAGCAGATCTTCTCCTAAAAGAGGAAGGAGAAGGGAGCACATAGGAAAGTTTATATGTTACTAATATTTGTTAAGACATAAAGTTAAACTTCTACAATTTAAAAACTTTCTTGGGCTGGCAAGATAGCTTATCAAGTAAGGGTGCTTGCTTCTAAGCCTTATGACCTGAGTTTGATCCCCTAGAACCCAGGTGGTAGAAGGAGAGAACAAACTCCTGCAAGTTGCCCTCCACGTACGTTGTGGTACGTACACACACACACACACACACACACACACGCACGCACACACACAGACTGACTTCTGTTACTTCTGTTTATTTTCTCCTCCTCCTTCACCTCCTCTTCCTCCTCCTTCTTTCTTTCTCTCTCTCTCTGCTAAAATTTTTAAACCTTTCTTTTTATAGAAAGACCTTAAGCCAGGACTGGGCATGGTCACACATGTCTGTCATATCAGCACTTAGGAGGCAGAGGCAGAAACATCACTCCAAATTTTAGGCCACTCTTGTCTACTTGTCTATTTAGCATTCTAAGCCAGTCAGGATTACATAGTGAAACTCAGAAAAGCCACCAACAACTCAAAAAGAGTAAGCCAGAAATGTTTTCAACTTATTCCTCAGCTCTGAAGGCTTGACCTTGCTGTGACTCCAAAGCACTTGACTTTGAATAGGAGAAGCAGTATCTGCTTGGGCACAGAGCAGGGCTGGCAAGATGACACAAAGATAGAAGGAGAAGGATCAGAGTTGTATGTAGACACTGAGGAGCAGGAGTCCCTGGGCAAGAGAGGACCATTCCTAGTCTGCATTGGGTATTCTTCCTGCTCAAGAGGCAAGAGTTGAGAAGCCTTGAGAACCAGCAAAGAGTCAGGGCTAGGAATGGAATAAGACCCCTGGCTCTACATGTACTGAGGTCGTGGGATGCTGTCAAAGGCATCTAAAATAGCTAAGATAAATCATTGTGTTAAACAAGATGACACATACCTGAGTGAATAACCGCATAGACAGCTCAGTACTGAACAACAGAAGACTGACTTCCGTTTTGTTTTCTTGCTGGTCTGTAGCTCCAGGATGACTTTTCATATACATGCTGTGAATAACCAGGGAAGGTAGGTGTGTGATTGTTGTACCTCCTCTCATGGGGCAGCTATAGGAACAGAAAGAAAAAAGTCCATCCAAGATAATGGTATACACCTGTAATCCCAGTGCTGAGGAGACAGAGGCAGGAGGATCAAGAGTTTGGGGTCTCAGGGCTGGTAAGATGACTCAGTGCATAAAGGCACCTGCTTCCAGCCCTGACAACCTGAGTTCGATCTCCAGAACCCACACAGTAGAAGGGGAGAACCAACTCCTGCAAGCTGTCTGATGATCTCCACATGCATATCATGACACGAATCATGTCCCTACATAGAATAAATAAATAAAACTAAAATGTAATTTTAAGAAAGAGTTCCAGGGGCTGGAGAGATGGCTCAGTGGTTAAGAACACTTGCTGTTCTTCCACAGGACCCAGGTTTGAATCCCAGCACCCATAAGGCAGCTAATAACTGTCCATAACTCCAGTTCCAGAGGATCTGACGCCCTTTTCTGGTCTCCGCTGACTTTACATGACACAGGTGCACTTACGCACATACAGGCAGTGCACATAAAATAAAAACAATAAATAAAACCTTTAAATGAAAAAAAAAGGAGTTCCAGCCAGGCATAGTGGCGCATACCTTTAATCCCAGCACTTGGAAGGCAGAGACAGCTATATAACTCTCTGTGAATTCCAGGCCAGCTGGGGCTATGGGAGGGACCGGGAGAGAGGGAGGGAGGGAAGGAAGGAAGGAAGGAAGGAAGGAAGGAAGGATACAAAGGAATTGGCACACTCCACTTCAGCTTACCTTAGTGAGCCTGTCTTCTTTTTCATGTAGATGCACTCTAAAATGGAATGGGATAGGGGAAGGAATTAAAAATAAAATTTAGCTCCTGCCCTCGGGCCGCTTGGGGTAAGTCTATCGCGCAGCCCTCCGCGCCTTGACTCCCCCAGCCGCGTTCACCCTGAGGGAGGGGGAGGGGGAGGCAGAAAGAGAAAGAAAGAAGGAAAGAAAGAAAATTAATTTGAGGCTGGGCGTGGTGGCGCACGCCTTTAATCCCAGCACTCAGGAGGCAGAGGCAGGCAGATCTCTGTGGGATCGAGGCCAACCTGACTTACATAGGGAGTTCCAGGCCAACTGGGGTTACAAAGTAAGACCTTGTCTGAAAAAACTAAATAATAATAATAATATAGAGAACTGGGGATGTTGCTCGGTGCTCTGTTGGTAGAGTCCTTGCCTAGGATGCATAAAGCCCTGAGTTCAATTCCTAGTGCCACATAAACCAAGAATGGTGCTACTGAGCCAGGCATGGTGGTGCACGCCTTTAATCCCAGCACTTGGGAGGCAGAGGCAGACGGATCTCTGTGAGTTCAAGGCCAGCCTGGTCTACATAGTTTGTTCCAGGACAGCTGGGGCTACAGGGAGACCTTGTCTCAAAAAGAAAAAAAAAAAAAAAAAACCCTAGCTAGCACCTGGCCTAGTGGTGCACACTTGGTAGCTCAATACTTGGGATGCAAAAGCAAGAGGATCGCTGCAAGTCTAAGACCATTCTGGTCTATATAGTGAGTTCCAGGCCATTCAGGGCTACATAGGGAGTGAGATTCTTTCTCAAAAGCAAAAACACCTAACTGGACATGGTGGCACATTCCTGTAACCCTAGGATTTGGGAAGTGAAAGCAAAAGGAGTTCAAGGCCATCCCTTGCTACATTAGTGAATTTGAGGCCAGCCTGGGTTACTGGGAGACCTAGTTTCAAAAACAAAACAAAACGCAAAATCCTTTAGCATATTTCTCTACCTTCTCTTTTTTTTCCTCTAGAATTGTGCCTCTGGACAATGAAGATAACTTATCCTTTGTGAAAACCGTAAGCAGAACTGTTATGAGTCAGCTGACCCAGAATGGCCTGCAAAGGGATAGCTGCAAAGGATGAGTTACAAGTAGATGTGGGGGTGTCCCACAAGTAGCTGAGATGTCAGTAACCTTGTACGAAAATGTCAGATGAACACAAACCAATGAGTTTTTAATGACTTTTCATTGCAGGAACTACACGATATACTTAACAAGAACCAGGGAAAATTAATTTTAAAAAAACAACAGTCCACAGAAGGCTTTATGTGCAGTGAAGTTTGGTAGTCTTACTATGTAGCCCTGGCTGACCTTGAACTCATTATGTAGGCCAAGCTGGCCTTGAACTCACAGAGATCCATCTGCCTCTGCCTCCAGAGTACTGGGATTAAAGATGTGAGTCACCAGCCATCATTGGAATTTTAATGGTGATTGCATTGAATCTTTAGATTACTATTAGTAATATAGACATGTTCACAATATTAATTTTGCCATACCAGGAGTGTGGAGAAGGTCTTTCAATCATCTAATATCTTCCTCAATTTCATTTTTCAGTATCTTATTCCATATAGAGATCTTTCCCCTCCTTGGTTAGGTTTATTCTTAGATTTTTGTGTTGTTTGTTTTTTGAGACAGGGTCTTTCACTATGTAGCCCTGGCAGACCTGGAACTCGGTATGTAGACCAGACTGGCCTAGAACTCAGAGATCTACCTGCTTCTGCCTTGGGAGTATTACATTGAGTAAGTGGAAAGAGTGAGCACCCTCGTCTTGTTTCATACTTTACAGGAAATGCTCTGAATTTTTCCCTATTTAGTATAATTCTGGCTGTCGGTTTGTTGTATATAGCCTTTGTTGAAGTTTGTACTATTTCTAGTTTCTTCTGTTATGAAGATATATTGAACTATGTCAAATGCCTTTTCTGCATCTATTGAGATAATCGTGGGTTTTTTTTCTTTAAATCTAATACAGTATATTGTATTTATTGATTTGTGTATGTTGAACTAACCTTATATCCTTGGGATGAAATCAACTTGGTCATGATCTGTCATCTTGAATTCAGTTTTGCAAATATTTTGTTGAAAATTTTTGTGTTTATGTTTATCAGGGAAATCTTTATGTAGTTTTTTGTTTTTTTTTAATTTTTTGGCTGTGTCTTTGTCCAGTTTTGTCATTCAGGGTAATACTGGCTTTGTAGAATGAGTTTGGTAGTATTCCTTCCTTCCTTCCCTTTGTATTTTGTGGAACAATTTAAAAAATATTAGTAGTAGATCTTCCCTAAAAGTTTGGTAGACATCAATACTAGAAGATGAAAGGCCTTCATGCTTCGGAATTAGAAGAATTTATATTATGAAATCAGTTACACTACCAAAATTAATCTACATATTTAATACAATATCTATCAAAATTCCAATGTCAGAAAAAAACAGTCCCAAGAATTCATATAGAAACACAAAAGACCATGAATAACCAGAGCAATTCTAAGGGGTAAGAATACAGCTATAGCTATCACAATACCTGACATCAATTATACTACAGAGCTTTAGTGATAAAGACAGGTTGGTACTGGCATAAAAATAGATAGGTAAACCAGTGAAACAGAGGACCTAGAAATAAACTGACAAAACTATGTCCACCTAATTTTTGACAAAGGCAAAAGCATACACTGGGGTGAAGACAGCCTCTTCAATAAATGGTGCTGGCAAATTGGATTCCACCTGAAGAAAATGATAAGAGATTCACAACTTTCATCTTGTATAAAAATCAATTCTAAATGGATCAACGACCTTAACTTAAAATATGCAAGTTCTAGATGAAAACATAGGGCATACTCCCCATGAAATTGGGATAGGCAAAAACTTTCTGAACAGAACATGAGTTCCACAGGAACTAGCCCCAACCATCAACATATGGGACTATATAAAATTGAAAAGTTTCTGGACAGCAAAGAAAACTATCAGCAGAGTATACAGAGCCCCTAGAATTGGAGATCTTTACCAGCTGTACATCAGACAAATGCCTAATATCCAGAATTTACAAAGAACTGCAGAGATTAAAAAAACCAAGGAAATAAGCTGGGTATGGTAGCACACACCTTTAATCCCAGTACTCAGGAGGCAGAGGCAGGTGGATCTCTGTGAGTTCAAGGTCAGCCTGGTCTACATAGGATAGTCTACATAGGGTAGGTCTTCCAGGCCAGCTGGGGCTACAGGGAGACCCTGCCTCAAAAAGACCCCCCACCCAAAAAAAAAACCACAATTTTTTTTGTACCAGCCTTGGTGTCTGTCAACAGAAGAATGGATAATAAAAATGTGACATACACAACAGAATTTTACTCAGCTGTTAAGAAAATAGAATTACGAAATTTACAGGAAAATGGATAGAACTGTAACGTTATTAAGTAAATTAACCCAGTCTCGGACAAAAATCATGTTCTCTTTCATATATAGAGCCTAACTTTTAAACATTTTTATTTATATATTTATTCTGTGTATGAGTGTATTGCTTGAATGTGTGCAAGTGCACCCGTGTCATGCAGGGTCTCCCCATAACCCCAGCTGGCCTGGAACTCACTATGTGGACCAGGCTGGTCTTGAACTCACAGAGATCCACCTACCTCTGCTTCCTGAGTGCTGGGATTAAAGTGCCACTACACCCTGTCTGGTAAAGTTTAATCTTTTTAATTGAATTTTTGTGTATTTCATACAGAGCATCTCAATCTTAATTATCATTATACCCTGTCCCCACTGGCACCCTCCCATATCCCCCTCACTGGAGCCCATATACTCTGTCATCCCTGTTAAGGCCATTGTATCAAGTCAGTGTCCCTAGACATTCCCCAGTGCACTGTTAGAAAATTGAACAAAGACAACTAAATCTCTACACAACTGTGCTTTAACAACAGTTTTAAGTGGTTTTAGCTCATGTTTTGGTTATGAAAGCAATTTAGCTCATCTCACAGGAAACAAAAGCAGGTGTTGAATCATGAAAGCCCCAATTTTTTTTTAGCATGCCTCTTAATTTTCTTTCCCCTGATTTCTTGTCTTCTGTGCCTGAGTCTTGAACAGGTAACCACTTCAGGGCATGTCAACCATATATTGGCCACGGAGGAAGTGTCAGCAAACAGGAGAAAGCAAATCTGGTCATAACTATATAGACAGTCCACCCAAAGTGTTCAGCCATGGACCTGTAGATAAATCCAACAATTGCAGAGAACAGTTAATTCCCTGAAACATCTGTTCAGCTAGTTTCTACCCCTTGTAATCCATCTGCTGTGGGCAGTGAGCTCAGATGCTTCAGCATGAGGGGCAGGGGAGACAGACAGCAGAGCAGGGGGACCAATTCTTAGGGAGCACGGGTGGGACAGTGCAGACTGGCCAACCTGCACAGCCCCTCAGAGTGATCTCTGTTCTTTTTGCTTTTTTTTTTTTTAATGTGTATGAGTGTGTTACCATCATGTAGGTAAGTATACCCATGTCACGCAATGCCCTTGGAGGACAGAAGAGGCTGTCAGAGCCCCTGAAACTGGAGTTACGGACAGTTGTTAACTGCCATGTGGGTGCTGGGATTTGAACCCGTGTCTTCTGCAAGAACAACCAGTGCTCTTAACCACTGCGCCATCTCTCCAGCCCCCTTTTTACTTCTCAAGTATAACCTTGCATGGCTTGAACAGTCTCTAAAGTCTGTGGATGCTACAGGATCCCAACTTTTCCTTCCCAGCTACCTTACCTACCTTAATTTTTTTCTTCTGAAAGTTGATTTTATATTAATCCCTATCCTCACCTACCACCTATTTTCCTCCAAATCCTAATCTTACTAAAATCTGACTACACTCCATACTATCCTTGGTTGCTTATCCTCCCAACAGTTACTAAAGTCAAAGGGGCTGCTGCTGTTAATTACCTAGTACAACATCTGCATGGTGGGAAAATCCAGTTGCTGTGACTTCTCTCACTACTAATATTCTACTCAGGAAATAATACAGAATTTGTACCAGGCACCCTGAGCTTCTGTACTGAGCAAATATTATCTATGTACCTCAACTCTACCACATATAAGTCCCACATGAATGTTTCAAAATTTCAGCAAAAAGACTATGGCTGAGTTTTTTTTTTTTAAAGCAAGCGACAAAATAACCTCAGATGCATTAATCCCAAAACTGTAACACAAGAAACATGAAACACCCAAGATAATATAACTCTTCCAAAATTTACTAATCCTGCAGAAATGGCATCCAGAGAGAGCAAGATAAATGAAATCCCAGACAGAGAACTAAAAGAATGATTGTATGTTCAAAAAAATCAAAGAAGAAAATAAGCTCTTGATCAAGAACACAAACAACTTAATGAAATAAGGTGATGCAAGATTTGAAAAAGGAAGTCAACAAAGATGTAGAAATACTGAAGAAAAATACATTATTTAAAATGTTAGAAATGAAGAACATAATGACTCAGCTAAAAATCTCTATGGAAAGTCTCACCAATAGAGTGGATCAAGGAGAGGACTGAGCTTAAAGACAGGATGGATAAATTGGAACAATCAAAAAAGGACAAAGATTAAAATACCAGCGGGAATTCCAGGATATACCCAACACTCTGAAAAGACCAAATCTATAGATAATAAGCATAGAATATGGAAAATAATTGTGTTCTAAAGGCATAGAAAATATTCTAAAAATAATCATAACAGATAATTTCCCAGAGTAGGAAAAGAGATGCCACGCCAGATATAGGAGACATTTAGGATACCAAAGAGACAAGACCAGAAAAGAACCTCCCTCATCATGTTATAATTAAAACACTAAATACACAGACAAAGGCAGTAAATTGAAAGTGGCAAGAAATACCAAGTCACACATAAAGGCAGGATCATAAAAATACGGCAGATTATTCAATTGAAGATTTAAAACCCTGGACAGATGTATTTCAAGTTCTAAAAGACATCTGACAACCCAGATTACTATACTCAACAAAGTTTTCTGTTATAATTGACAGTAAAATAAAACTTTCCATGTTAACAACTAAGCCAGCTTTAAAGAAAATACTTGAAGGAATCTTTCAGATTGAAGAGGAAAGTAAATCCATCCATGAGTCAACAGGAAAGAAAAAAAATCACACTAGAATAATAAGCAAGACAGGAAGAAGAAAAAGCTACAGTACAAAATCAACAAAATGACAAGAAATAATACCTTTCAAAATAACTCTGAATATTAATGGTCTCTGTTCCCCAATCAAAAGACACAATGAACTAGAATAGAGAACCCAGACACAAATCTACAGTCACCTGATTTTTTTTTTTTTTTTTTTTACAAAGATACCAAAAACGTATTGGAGAAAAGATAGTATCTTCAACAAATGATGCCGGGGAAACATGTAGAAGAATGAAACTAGATCCTTATTTTGTGCACAAAAACCAACTCTAAATGGACCACAAATTTTAACATTACACCTGAAACTCTGAAGAGCTAGAATAAGTAGGAAGTACATTTCAAGATACAGGCATAGGGAGGCTGGAGCTGCGGCTCAACTTTTAAAAGCACTTGCTCTTGCAGAAGACCAGAGTTCAGATCCCAGCACATATCACACAGCTTATAACTGCCTGTAAGTTCATTTCCAGGCAATCTGCCACCCTCTTCTGACCTCCACAGGCCTGCATATATGCATGCACACACACACATACACATAAAAATAAATCTTTAAAAAAAAAGGACTTTCTGACTAGGACTCCAATTGCTCAGTAACAAAGGATACAGAATGAGAAATAATCTTTACCAATTTATAAAGCTGACAAGATTATTATCTATAATATATACACAACTCAAGAAACTAAACATCAAGAAAACATACAAAATGGGCTATGGGGGATGATGAAATGGCTCAGTGAATAAAGGTGCTTGTTGCCAAACCTGACAACCTGAGTTCAATTCTCAGAACCCACGTGGTGGAAGGAGAGAACTGACTCGCAGGAATTGTCCTCTGACTGCCACATATGTGCTCTGGTACTCATATACCTGCATACACACACACACACACACACACACATACACACACACAAATAATAAATAAAAGGAAAATTGATGGGGCTGGAAAGATGGCTCAATGGTTAAGAGCACTGGCTGCTCTTGCAGAGGATCTAGGTTCAGTTCCTAGTACCTATACAGCAGTTAACAACTGTCTGTAACTCCAGTTCCAGGCTTCTGCAGGTATTGAATGACACAGGTGCACTTACACATGCAAGCAAAACACTCATACACATAAAATTTAAAAATAATAACTTCAAGGCCACCCTGGTCTACATAGTGATTTCCAGGTCAGCTGGGACTACAGGGAGAACCTGTCTCAAAAAGACCCAAAAATAATAATAATAAATATTTTTGAAAAAGGGGTCGGGTGTGGTGGCGCATACCTTTAATTCTAGCACTTGGGAAGCAGAGGCAGGTGGATCTCTGTGAGTTCAAGGCCAGCCTGGTCTATACAGTGAGTTCCAGGTCTCTCTCTTATAGGGAGACCCTGTCTCAAAAAGACCAAAAATAATAATAGATGGATGGATGGATGGATGGATGGATGGATGGATGGATGGATGGATAGATAGATAGATAGATAGATAGATAGATAGATAGATAGATAAAAATATTTGAAAAAGAAAAAGAAGGGCCAGGCATGGCCCTTTAATCCCAGTACTTGTCAGTCAGAGGCAGGTGAATGTGAGTTGGAGGCCAGCCTGGTCTACCTAGTGAGTTCCAGGACAGTTGGGGCTACAGGGAGACCCTGTCTCAAAAAAGAAAAAAAAAAGAGAGAGAGAGAGAAAGAAAATTGCCGACGTTGTTTTTTGTGCTTTGAGTCCATTACTAAGTAAAATAAGAATGACTCAGCATCCGTCTCAAAGAAGCTCATATCCATGTTCTTATGTGTCTTATGTTTCTTCTTGAGTGCCTCGCTTTCCCTTTTAACCTTTATGCTTAAATCTGGGTTTTTTGTTTTGTTTTGTTGTCTTTTTGAGACAGGGTCTCCCTGTAGCCCCAGCTGGCCTGGAACTTACTATGTAGACCAGGCTGGCCTTGAACTCGCAGAGATCCGCCTGCCTCTGCCTCCCAAGTGCTGGGACTACAGGCGTGCACCACCACACCCGGCTAAATCTGTTTTAAAATATCTTTATTATGAGGCTGAACAGACGGCTCAACAGTTAAGCACACTGGATGCTCTTACAGAGTACCAGGATTCAGTTCCCAGCACCCACATGGCAACTACAAGCCGTCTGTAACTCCATTTTCAGGGGGATCTGACACCCTCTTCTGTCCTCAATGGATGCTGCACAACCGTGGTGCACTTGCATGCAGGCAGAACACTCATGCACATAAAATTAAAAGAAATAAATCAGAATTGAAGGGACTAGAGAGATGGCTCAGAAGTTAAGAGCAGTTCTAGGAGATCTAACACTCTCTTTTGACTTCTGCAGGTTTGCACACATGGGTGCACTGATATACATTCATGCAAAACACTCATACACATAAAAATAAGTAAATAAAAAAATTTAATCTATAAACTCTAATTCAACTCTTAAAAAAATGAATTGGAGACTGGAGAGGACCTGGGTTTGATTCCCAGCACCCACAGAGTAGCTAAAAAAACATCTGTAATTCCAATTCCAGGGGATCTGATGCCCTCTTCTGACATCTATGGGCATTGCATGACACAGGTGCACTTACATACATGCAGGCAATACACTCATAAAATAAAGTAATAAACACAGTAACAATTTTTTAGAAGAATTACTTGACTGTAAACATTATGATACTATGATGATCAATCTGATAACCCAGATGTCTGTTTACTAATCTGTTTACTAAGTAGTGTAGATGCTCTGGACCAAGGAATGATTCATATCCTAAGAAGGATGGAGTAGAACAGTATAAAATTTAATCACACCAAAAATGATATATAATTTTAAATTCATACATTGTTTATTTCTGGAGTTACTCATTTAATATTTGTAGGCCACAGGTGGCCTGAGTTACTGAAGTTACTGAAACCACAGTTAGCAAAACCATGAATAAAGGGTATCGGGGAACTACTGTACTAGAAGCATCACTTGCAGCATGTTGTTAGGTACTCAAAAATATCCATGAAGATGTGCATAACAAATTAATGAAAACCTTTGTCAGCACCTTTCCTATCTTATTGAGAACTCATTTCTAACCTAAAGGAGTTGGTGAGAGTGTGATAATTGTGGGAGTGTGAAGCATCTAAGTGTTCAGAAACCAAAGGAAATACCTCTTGACTCTGGTAGACTGGGAGCCAGTCACAATTAAGAAAGAGGGCTATGGAGCTGGAAAGATGAATCAGCAGTTAAAAGTGCTTGCTACTTTTTCAGAAGACCAGAGTTTGGTTCCTAGTACCCATGTTGGGTGGTTCATAACCGCCTGTAACAAATTCCTTGGCATCTGATGCCCAGTTCTGGCTTCCTGAGGCATCTGTACACAGCATATATACAGAGATGCACACATCTGCATAAGTTAAAAATAAAAGAGTGAAGACTGTTGATTATTAGAGGAATAACAGTTTGAGAAGTTTATCAGAATATAAAGATATGTTCTCTAATCAAGAAACACCTATACGGAAACCTGAAGACATCTCCCAGTTCAGAAGTGTATTTCAGCATAGCTCCAGTTTTTCGTAGAGATTTTCTAGTATTCTTTTGCCATGTTCCTTACAGCTATATTTTGTGGTCTATTTCTTATAGATCTCTCCTGGAAGATGATAGACTAATAATATCTCTGTCCCTGCTTTCTCACCTAACATAGGCTTGTATGACTGTCTATGACATTCCTGACTTTCTGGGAGGAAAAGGATGCTTAGGATCTGTGGTCTTCTCAGAATCATTTTTGACTTCTCAGATCTTGGTTAAAGAAAAGGGTAAGTGTGTGTAATATTTCGAAAGCAACCTTGAAAATTTGTTTTTGGTAAAATAAACCATAAACTAAAGAAAAAGGCCAACATAAATATATTAATGACTAGTATATATTAGACCACTTACAAGCAACTGGTACAAATTATTAAGAAAAAGATATGCTATCTAATAGTTAGTTACATGGCCAAAAAATTACAAGCAGGTTGTTAGAAACAGAAAACAAAATAATAAGGAGGGAGCACTTTTTATGAATGAAGATATATATACCATTGATAGTGTGCTGGATAGCTTTAGTGTCAACTTGACACACCTGGGTTGAGGGAGCCTCAATTGGGGAACTACCTCCATAGGACTGGCCTATGGCCAGGTCTGTGGGGCATCTTCTTGATTGTTGAGTGATGTGGGAGGGCCCAGCCTACTGTGGACCTGAGCTCTGCAAGTGTCAGCTCTTGAATAGCTTATGAGGTTGGGATTTCTTAGCCTTTAGCAGCAGCTGGTATTTTTCACTTCTCGGTAAGCCTAGGTATCAAAATTCCTCAGCCTTTGAGAGTTGTGGTGTTATAGCCCCCAGGCCCAAAGTATCTGAGACTTTTGACCTTAAAGGCCTCACAGCTCTCTGGAACTCTTCCAAAGACAAGGCCTGCATTCTTTTCTTTGCTCTTTACAGCCTTTCATCCTTCAGCCTCAGTTGTCTGCCCTCTCTAATTCTGCCATCTCACTTCCCACCCCAGGAACTCTATCAAACTGTTGATCTGTCTTGCTGCTTTTACAGCTTGGCCTATGAACTGTGCAGCTATTGCTGCCACTGTTGTGCTGCTTTGCTGCCTCTCTGTCATTGCCACTCTTATGTCTACTACTTCTTGCTTCATGTTACCGGCTGAGCCAACACCTCTAAAAGTAGACAAAAAAAACCACTTGAGAGAAGCTTCCTATTGGACTTAATGTTGTAACACCAACACAGGCAGCACAGGAAGGTGTCTCCTGGCAGACTCACCAGGCGTGGTGGCACAAGCCTTTAATCCCAGCACTTGGGAGGCAGAGGCAGAGGGGTTCTCTGTGAGTTCAAGGCCAGCCTGGTCTACATAGTGAGTTCCAGGACAACTGGAGCTACAGGGAGACCCTGTCTCAAAAAGACCAAAAAAAAAAAAAAAAAAGAACCACTTGTGTATCCAGAGAGGAGAAAGGTTTTCACCAATCAGGGTAGATCTTGCATGCAAACGAAGGTTTGTATTTTCACCAATCAGGCCATTATGTCTTTAGCACTGATCACAACAATCCCTGTAGTAGGCCACTAGGAGAAATTCCCCACCTTTGCCCCTAGTAGAAATGTTTGCAACATCATCATCTAGAGTTTACTAAGGCTTAGAGTAGCAGAATCTGGCACAAATTGAAATATTCTTGCTGAGGCTATACCCTCAGGAGACATAGCAATAAGCTGTGTAATTGATTGTATAGTTTTCTCAGGGTATTAGTGAAATGTTCACAACAGCTGCTGGCTGTTCAGCATGCAATCTTTTTGTTCAGGGCAGCAAGGAAGAGCTCCAGTTAAGGAACCAAATTGCCCCATCCTGTACCACCTTGGCTTATTTATAAGAAAATGAAACATCAGAAGGAGTACTTACCATAAGAATTTAAAGAACTTATTCATGGTAATGAATACAGTGGCATGCGTACAATACCAACATCTGGAAGGCAGAGCAGGAGGATTACCACCACAACTTCAAAGCCAGCCTGGTCTGCATAGTGAGTTTCAGGCCAGCTGGGGCTACAGGGAAATCATTGATGCAAATTATCAGGGAGAAATAAAGATTATGCTATATTCGCCTTCAAAGATTTCTGTAATTCAACAAGGACAAAATGTAGCCCAAAGACCATTTAGCAACATTTTTCAAATATCATTGGCACAACTTTGAAAAAGTCCTTTGCCCGTTTCTTCCCCAAGGCCGTGGCCAGTTGACGGGAGCTTTACGGAGGCTAGTTAGCCAGTGACGGGTAAGATCTTCTCAGAGTAAAGCGGGTCACCGGCCGATCCCCTACGGCTTTCACTCTAGTAGAGGACAACCTAAGACAGACATGGTCTTTCCATCCCAGTCTTGGCATGTACTTCATCTTTAAAAAATATAAAAAGAAAGGGGGAAATGTCGGGAGCCATGCTTGACAAAGCATTGGAAAAAAGTAGAGTGCCACTTTAAGAGCTTCTGAGCTCTCTGCTTCAGTGGTCAGAGCCAACAGGCTGTGCCGCCATGATTAATTAGGTCTCCTAGAAACTTAAGTTTCATTTCGGTCTTCGGGCACCGGAATTGGTGAGGTAATGCGGAAACCTGCTGCGTCCATAGTTACTTTCTGTTAGTAAAAAATCTATGGTGATTCCTTGGTGATTCCTCAGTTACCCCAAATCTGATTCCTATATAAGATCTGTGTTCCTCACAACAAAAAGCTTCCTGTGATCACTCACCTAACTGTAAGACTCTTTCTTTGAATAAATTCATTGCATAACTTCAAGACTTTTGTCTTAGTTATTTTTCTTGTTGAAGACCCAAGGCTGGTGGGCTTGGGGGGTGTTCGACAGGAGACCCTGTCTCAAAAAGCTGGGGGGTAAGGGGAGGAATACACACACAAAGAACACCATGCCAAACTTATTGGTAGTGATTTTAAGGTTTTAACAGTGTTTACCTAATGCTCCAGAGAGGTATATCTGTCGCATTTGTCTCAGTGCAATTATCCCCAATATTGTTAAGTGTTGTTTTAATGAGTATATATGTCTGTACTTCTTGATAAAAATTGAAATTAAAGATAAAAAGAACTGATTTGAACTTATTTAAATGTGTTTCTATTTCTTTTGAAAAATACTTAATCATCTTTCTCCATCAGCTTATTAGTCTCCCTGTTCCCGTTCCTGTCCCCCCAGCCCCTATAACTCCCTTACTCCCAGGATCAGACTCTATACTAACAAGAGGAGCCCTTGCTCCTAAGAAGGGAAAGGGCACTTTCTTGGGTAGCCCTCCCTGTAAGGTAGGCTGAGGTGGCTGGTAATAACTGGCATGTCTTTAATCTTCCTACAGGTGGCACTATTATCCCAGAGACCAGCTACATTGTCCTGACAGCTGTCATACCCAGATTCTGCTCCTGGTTGGTCAGTATCATCTATAGTATCATCCAGAATCGACCTAAACCCAGACAAACCTGGGGCAAACATTTAAGGAGGAGCCTACCTCTTCCTGGTGTCCCTGGAGGCCTGTCATTCTGAGCTAGGTTTTGTTCAGGAATCGAACCCTCTTATAGTTTTAAAAAACTTCCAAAATAGCTGGGCGTGGTGGCGCACGCCTTTAATCCCAGCACTCGGGAGGCAGAGGCAGGCGGATGATCTCTGTGAGTTCAAGGCCAGCCTAGTCTACATAGCAAGTTCCAGGACAGCTGGGGCTACAGGGAGACCCTGTCTCAAAAAGACCGAAGGAAAAAAAAAAATTGTCCCTTCCAAAAGAAAAACAACAACAGCAAAAAAGCCAAGCTGAGTTATTTACTAAGTCATGCAAGGAAGGAAGGCATTAGCACCCTCATATTACAGATGGGAATACTAGAGCTTAGTGCTAATGTCCAGATGTTCTAAGGCTTGACCAGGGCTCTCTGCCTGTCCAAGGTCTCACAGACTTTGAAAAGTTCATCCCTTCTCTGGTCAGAATGATTATTGCTGTTTTTTTACAATGTCTCTCCCTACATGTAGACATGTCACATTTCTTCAGTGAGGCTTGATCTGAAACTGTATTGTTTTGAATTTTTTTTCAGATGTGGTCTCATGTAGCTCAGGCTGGCCCCAAACTCTCACTGTGTATCCAAGGATGTCTTGAACTCTTCATCCTCTTGTCTAAACCAGCAGCCTCCTCTTTCTTGAGCCTGAGTTCCAGGAACACTGGGGATGTCTTTTTTGGAAGAGATCAGGTTGAAGGGCAGCCTCAAATCTGTCCAAGCTCAGTTTGCAAAAGGCACTGACATGTAACTCTTTTCTATTGTAAGCTTTCTGTTTAGTTTGCTCCCAGTGATTAAATCTAAGTCATTTGAGATTAAAAATAATAATAAAATAGAAGTCTAAGTACCATAAACAGGCATGGTGGTACATATCTGAAGTCTTAGCACTAGGAGACTGAGGCAAGAGAATTGCCACAAGCTGGAAGCCAGCCAGGATTACATAACAGAGGGCAGGGATTTTATCCCTAGCACCCACATGGTGGTTCACAATTGTCCTCAAAACCAGTTCTAGGGAATCCTACTCTCTCTTCTGCCTTCCACATGGTAGAGGTACAGCATGCACATGGTGCACTTGTATACACGTGGGTAAAACATATACATAAAATAAAATGATATATTTTTTAGAATAAATTTTTAAAAGTCACAGGGCTAGAGAGATGGCTCAGTGGTTAAGAGCACTGGCTGCTCTTGCGGAGGGCCTAGGTTCAGTTTCTAGGACCCACATGGTGGCCAACAACCGTCTATAACTTCAGTTCCAGGGGAGTCTAACACCTTCTTCTAACCTCTGCAAGCATTGCAGGGCACGGATGCACTTACACACATGTAGGAAATATACTCATACACATAAAATAAAAATAATAG